GAAATGAGGTTTCAGAACTACTTTAGGGGAAATAAGAACTTAGGTTTACATCATAACAATATACAGAAGTTTTGAAATCTCCAGACTGCCAATGAAAATATAAGGCTTAGGAGCTAACGGTAACATTTTCAGAATTAGATGTATAGGAATGATAGTTGGACTCTGGCCCTAAAAGATTCTTGAATCTGTCTACCTGCCCCCCCCTGAACTTTCTCTCCCTGCTGCCATTCACTTTCAAGTGTAAGGTAAGTCACTTCTTACCTGAATAATTAAAATATTGCCCAGGCAAAAGTAGGTGCCCTATAGGGGATATTTCCACAGCTTGCTCCCTGAGTTTTCCTTCTAGGCCTTACTCCAGTCTTATTCAAGCATGTATAATTTTGAGGAGGACATAGTGGCCAGTTTTATTTACCCCTAAAGATCCAGCAACTTCCAAATACGTATTAGACAACTATTTTTTTCCCTACTAAAAAGTAAATGGGTGTCACTGCTGAAAAGCAGAGAAAGAAAAGAGTTGAAGAAAGATTTTTGTTTGAATCTTTATGGCGTGAAAGTAAGAACCAATTAGAAAGGTAAAGAACCAAGAGATGGCACAGGCACAGTAGCCGAGAGAGCATGGACACGGGAGGTGCAGGAGTCTGCCATGACTGACTCTGCAGCAGAGGCAGCACAGCAACAAGAATAAATAACATTTATCAGGTGCTTTCTTTATGCCAGTTACCTTCCTAATGTGGTTGAGTTAGTCTTCACAATAACTCTGTGAGATACATGTCCCTGTTATCTCAGTCTTAGAGATGAGGAGAGAAGGCCCAGAAAGGTAATACTGTGTCCAAAGACGAGCAGATGGGAGTCAGCAGGCAGACAGGCTGCCAGCCCACACCATGCCCTGCACTAACCTGTAGCCTTTCTGGCTTTTTCTAATAACAGGTTAGAAAACAGTTTATAGGGGCTAAAGAGTGTGGCACAGAAAATGGAAAAGGAGGACTGGGCCACTCTTTTTGACCTTTGGTGATGAAGACAGGACAGCAGTGCCTGGCATTCTAAGTTATTGCATCTCCCAGCTAGGTCATCACCCCCGCAGAAGCTGCCTAAGAGATGTATTACCAGCCACAAGCGCCTGGTGTATGTGCTTTTACTTCAGGAGCAGATGGTCTTGACCCTGCCTTAGGATATTATGGCAGCTGCCTTATGTTGACTTTTTTTTTTTTAACTACATTCCTATACTATTGAGTTAAATAGCCCTTAAAGAGAGATTTATAGAGAGAAATAAAAAAGCTGGCTCTGACACTAAAGAACATGGTGGTATTCCAACTTGCTTTTAGTTTTACATACATCTAGGAATCATTCCTGCTTTCCTTTTTGCAAGTAGGGAAGTAAAGTCTTGTCCACATTGGATAGAGAGGCATCTGGATTTACACTGCAACTAGTATTTTGCATAGCAAATGCACAGTACAGAATCCAATAGCAACAGTGAGGCCAGGTAGATGTTCTAGGGGGAACAGTGTGAGTCTCCAGGACAGACCCAACTGATTGCTTTCTATCATGTTGCAGAAAGTGGCACAATCTCAATCTTCACATATGTTAAAATTTTGGCAGATTTATCAATTCTTGTAATTAAAGAACTGGGAGGAAATGAATATCAGAACCATTTTGTTCTTAGTTGATGCAAGTCTGCAATGCATGTGACTAAAATCTGTTCCCAGAATATTTTATTACAGAAGTTTTCTAATTAGATTTAAAATATATGCCTCTATATTTATCTTTTTCTTTCAAAACCCCCCCTTTTTTTAAAATTTTTTCATGGCTAGGGCCTTTCCCTAATCCAAAATCCAGCTGTCATGGTTAATGTTTTAAACAATGAAAATTCAATTTATCCTTTTTAAGCTTTTCATTCTGAAAGTAGGATCCTGGCCTCCGAAGGCCTGCTCCAGGATACTGTCAATTCAATTGGAGAGACATCTTTTTTCTTAAAAAAAAAAAAGTAGTTTTTCTTAGTTAATACTTTTGAAGTTTTTCTTAAATAAATCCGCACAAATATTTGACCACTTCAAGACAGCCTGACTTATCACTGATGAAATGATGAAAGGCACATGTTCTCTCTACCTGACCTTGGGCAGGAAAAGACTGCACATAGAAACAGTTCACATTCAACAGTCTATTAAGAAAATTTATTTTATAGTTTTTTTTTCCCCACAAACAATTTATGGACATTTTACAGAGAAAAGTAAATAAACATGATGCCGAACAGGCACCCTTTTCAGCCTCGCCAATCCTAAGCTACCCCACGAAGCCTGTTGGGAAGACGCAGGGTCTTGTCATAGGGCCTGATCTGATTTGGAAGCCAGTTTGCTGCTTTGGAGGAAATATTTGTCAATACGTAGTTTGGATGGTGCAGATACAGGCTGTGATTTTTGTCTATTGAAAATCAGACTATCCCCTCAAATAGATCACTAGGTAGTTAGTCGCCTTATAGCCCATTGATCAGAAGGACGACCTTCTCCTGTTGAATGTCCAAGCAATGCCACGCTGTCAGACTGGCACATGGCCATACACTGGTATCCTCGGTGCTGAAGTGTCTCTACTGACCAGAGCTTTTCAAAGGTCCAGACGCACCAAAAGGACACCAGTTCCCAGGTTAGAAATGCAGTCCTATCTTTGTTGACCTTTTATTTATTTTTTTTTTCAAGAGTCACTGCACGAGTGTTTACTTCAAGCTAACACCTGTAAACTCTCACACAGGGTGGGAGCCATGAGTCCTCATGTGTTGTAATCATGATGAAGATAGCCAGCAAGTAATTGAGTGCTTTCTCTGTGCTGAGAATTTTTCTAGGCATTTTACCTACATTACCATATTTAATTTTTAAATTACCTAGTGGAATGGGTAATACTATCATCCCTGTTTACGGCAGCAACTGAACTACTACTATTTGCAGTAGCTAAGCCATGGAAACCACCAAAATCCCCAAAACAGATGAATGGATCATGAAAATGCAGTGCATGTGTGTGTGTGTACATATATGTATATATACGTACATATATATACGTACATACATATATATATGTATACATATATATATACGTACATACATATATATATAAGACACAATGAAATACTACTCAGCATTCAAAAAAAGATAAAATAATGCCATTTGTGGCAACATGGGTAGAACCTGGAAGGGATTATGCTAAGCAAAATAAGTCAGAAGGAAAAAGAAATAGTGTATGGTTTCACTTACTAGAGGAATATAGGGAAACTGAAGAAAGGTCAGAAAAAGGGCAAAACTTACAAACTGACCATAGGTCTGAGACGTATAGGAGGGAAGGGGGCAGAAAAAGAGGGTAATAACAGGGGAGGGAAAAGAACAAGGAACTATGGAAATGGATCACAGATGGTGTGGTTGTCGGAGAACCACGGACTACCGCTGAGAGAAGCAATCAACTATTGTACACAGATGAACAGTGGTGTAAGAAAACAATTAAATGATAAAGAAAAATTAAAAATACATATCACATTGAACTGAACTATTTTAATAAAATGATCACCTAATTTTAAAAAAAAGGAGAAAATTCAATAGCTCAAAACTTTTAAATAATAGGACTCTCCTGTTAGCTCTTGCCTGCCTCCTTTCCCAAAATAATTTACTGACAAGTGAAAGGTGAACACTAGGGAATAATTGGTAGTCATTTACAACCCACTTCAATTTTCCATGTTGGGGCAAAGATACAAGACTCAAGGGTAACCATATTTCTCAAAGGCCACACATACCATCATTCACAAAGCCTATTGGCAAATAGCATCTATCAAGCAAGTGTCAGCTGCAGGTATTTGAATCCTCAGGGCTGGTCTACTCTTTATGTATCATAAATGTTGATCAAAAAAGCAACTGAACTAAGGGAGAGTAGCAGCATTAAGTAATTGTGGATAGTTCATCCCTGGTTAAACAAGTATCTGTGGACTCTGAGCCTCAAAGTTTCCTAACTAAGGAATAAGAAGCGACTTCACATAACCAAGGTTTGTCTTTCTTTTGAAGTTGTTTTGATTTCCTGAGCAATTTTGCATGAGAAATGTCAGGCATTAAAAACTCTGTTGAAAAGAGACTCATATACACACAACTAGGAAAAGAATGTTATCCTGGGGGGAGTACCCAATTATCAGGCACTTTTTCCTCAACACTTCCTCCATTGAAGAACAGTCCCAAGTGTCAAAGCAGATCATGATGGCTTCTTACCTTGACCTTGTCTCCTGTCATTTTCCTGTCAGAACATCACTATCTTCTTTGTCTAGTTGCATCCAGCTACTTTTAATTCCTTCTCTTCCCCGCTGTGCTGACTGGATGATTAAGCATTAAGCTTTATTCTTTTTTGAGATAATAATTTTAAAAAAAAAAATTGCTGCTGGGAATGAAATGACAACTTTAAAGACAAGTTTTGAAAAAGAAACTACTTGAATGCCAGCAAGATTAAAATTTTGAAACAGAAACACATCCCCTTTGGGTCTTTGTACCCAGGAGGGTCCTAGCTTGTAAAGACCACTGTTGATTGGTTCTCTCTTTTAGTGCTTCAGAATGTGGATATTATAGTTGACTGGGTTCATATCCCAGCAATGCCACTTACAAACAGGGATACTGACCAATTTACTTTTTCTCTCTCTTTGTATCTATTAAAGTGGAGACATTCGCCCCTAACTCACAGAATTCTGAGGACTGACCACAAGTGAATATCTGAGCCCTAAAACATGAGGTGTATTCAATCTAGTGCATTACAAAGAGATGTGCAACTTTGGATTTGAATAAAAATCTCATCTAGGAAACATTGTGATGACCCTGATTACATATAACCTAATAATCATACATGCAGATGTTTTTATTTTTACTTTCTCCCTGTTAGCCACCTCCTGGGATGGACACAAGAGCTTCATATCTGCATATATAGAGCTCTCTGCAAATAAAATTGAGTAGCCATTTCATTTGACTGACCTCCTGCTTCATTTTCTTCCTCAGGTTCTGGAAAGCTTCAAGATCATGGATTATAGCCTTTTGCTGGGAATCCACATCCTGGACCATTCCCTCAAAGAGAAGGAAGAGGAGATCTCACAAAATGTGCCTGATGCAAAGCGACCTGGAATGCAGAAGGTCCTCTACTCAACAGCAATGGAATCCATTCAGGGTCCAGGGAAATCTGGCGATGGGATCATCACAGAGAACCCAGACACGTAAGTACAGCTACCCGCCTGCCCACCCTCCTGACCATGGCAGGGAGGCACTGGGTAACTCAATACAATCCTGTTCCCTTCATGGTGGTTCTTTGGGAATAGATTCCTAACTGGGACTGAAAATGATTATGCCTGCCTTTGTTTCCATTCATCTAGAATATCTAGATGAGAGGCATTTCTTACACATTATTATCATTCTTTCATCCACATGATGGTTTTTCCCCAAATGGTTCCATTTTTTTAGCAATGGCTAAAAATGTTTGCATCCACATTTACTGCATATCAAAACATCTACCACAAGAGGATGACTACACTTGGAATTTAAATAAACACATATTTAAGCAAATACATGATATGTTTACCATGCAGAGCTTCTTATCTGTACAAGAGGATTCAGTTTTTCCAGTTCTGCACCCAGGCTGATGCAATCTCTTGCCTCAGTAAGATGTGATAGAAACTGCAGGAGCAGTTTGCAATAAGTACATATTGACCAAAAGAAATAATTACACCCAAAGGTAATCATTGAAATGGTTGACTAGCTCACCTTTGTGTAGAGAAAGCAAAGGAGGCAGAAAGCAAGAAATCATATTCATTGGTCATCAGTGCCTGCCTTCTAGGATTCTCTAACAATGACTAAGTCACAGGCATATTTCACTTTTATAGGGGAAATTAATACACATTTAACTTTTTTAAATCCTTACTTGTAAACCCGTGTAAATACTCAATAATCAGCTAGACAAATTAGTATGTATCAGTATGGTAAAATACTACCCAACCATTGTAAAACATATCAGTGTTACATATAAAGAAATGTCCATCATGTAACAAGTGAAAAATTCAATGTATAAAACATGGTAAGTTATGTAATAAATACTTTTTTTGTTGAATACTGAGCATACACACAGACACATATATATATGTATGTGTATATATGTGTGTGTGTGTGTGTGTGTACTGGAAAGCTACCAAATCCTAGAAATTGACTGGTCCTTATGTGTTTTTCTTTGTACTTTTATATTTATATTTTTTATTTAAAAATCTCATAAGGAATATACAAAACACTGTATTTTTAAAAAGCAGTTCATTAAAATGCTTTGAAAATTCTCGCAGTGTTAAAATAGGATTTATTTTTTACTTTACAATGAAATTTTTACTTTTTTTTTATTGAGGTCACATTGGTTTATGACACTCTCAATGTGATTCAGAAACACAAGCCCTTTGATTATACCTCTTCAGATCCCTCCTCCACAGCCCACCCACACCCACAGCCATACCCACACCAAGGCACTCAGAATTCTCCACTGTAATGGGTGAGGTCCAACCCCATTTTGTTCCCCTCCACATCTCCCTGTCTTATAACCTATTCTTTCAGAGTGTATTACTGGTTTGGTTTTGTCTGACCTTTGTTTTGATTCTCTATATTCTATGTATCAGTGGAACCATCCAGTATTTATCTTTGTTCTTCTGACGGACTTCACTTAGCATAATCCCCTCCTGTTCCCATTCATTTCACAAATTGCAGAAGTTCATCTTCTCTTCAGTGCTGAGTAGCAGCCCTTTGTGTGTATGTACCACATTTCCTGATCCACTCCTCTTCCTTGGCACTTAGTCTGTTTCTATAATTTAGCTATTGTAAATAGGGCTGTACGCAACAAAGTAGTACACAGATCTCTTCAAATGAATATTTTAGCGTTCTATGGGTAGATACCTAGGAGTGGGGTTGCTGAATTGTGTGGTAGATGTATTTTTATATTCTCAGGCACCTCCATATTGTGTTCCACAGGGGCTGGGTAAGTATTTTTTACATTTCCAGCAGCAGTATAAGAGGATTCCTTTCTTCTCTACTTCCTCACCAGCAATTGTTTCTGGATTTTATGATATAGGCAACTATTTGTGGTTTTGATTTTAATTTTCCTGATGATAAGTGATGATGAGTTTTGTCTCTATTTTCATTTCCATATTAGTCATCTATGTATCTTCTTTGGAGAAGTTTCTCTGCCCAATTTTTTTTTTTAAATTGGGTTGTTTTCTTTATGTTGCATTGTATGATTTTTTTACATATCTTCGATGTTGGTCCTTTATCAGGTTTATGATATCCAAATACTTCCCCCCTTTAGTAGGATATCTTTTTGTTTTACTGATAGTTTATTCATAATGCATAACTTCCTCAGTTTGATGTAGTCCCCTTTGTTTATATTCTCCTTGTGTCTCTCCCATTGGAGACAAATCCACAAAGATATCACTGAACCAGCATTGTAGAGTGTTTTGCCTGTTGTTTTTTTTTTTCCCTCCCCCCCAATGTATTTTATGATTTCAGGTCTTCAAAATCCACGTCTATCCAAATCTTTAACCATTTTGACTTAATTTTGAACCCAATTAACTCCAATTTTTTTTAACTTTACTTAAAGCCTTCCAATGAATGTAGGATATTCTCAAATGCTTTCTCTGCATCTATTGATATGATCAGATGATTTTTTTTATGATAGGAGAGATAGTTCAGAATTGAAGTTTGTCAATATTTATTTATAATCTCTTTGTTAGAGATGGTCTTTAACTTACTATTTTTACATCCTAAAATACTCTTGTTCTGTCAACAGGATGGGAGGCATTCCAGCTAAAAGCCATAAGGGAGAAAAGCTACTTTTATTTATGGGCATTATTGACATCCTACAATCATATAGGTAAGAAGTTTTTAGTAATCTTTCATCATTTCAAAGTAAATCAAAAAATGGTTTTGAGAATTTATCAAATGTGAGTGGTTTCAAATACTCATTTTTATTTTTATGTTATATTTAGGTTAATGAAGAAGTTAGAGCATTCCTGGAAAGCTCTTGTTTATGATGGGGTAAGTGGCTAATATTCCTTGTTAAACTATATATACTTTCTGAGATCTCAGTGATTTGAAACTCTATCATGGAAACCCTGTCACTAGACATGAAGAGTAAAGGAAACAAAAGTCTATAAATCTCAGAATCATAGGTTAGCAAGGTTGGTTCAAATTTAAGAACAAAGATAACATTTGAAACTCTGTTCAAATACAGGGCACCAGATAGAAGCTGGTGGTGAGGTAGAGACCAAGAAAACAATGTGGCATCTTCTGTATGAAATCTCAAGGGCCCAATTAAGAGATGATCATGGTGAGAAAGTAGAAAACTTTTTCACAGACATTGGGATGACCAGTAAGACAGTTGAAATGAACTCACAAGACAAACTCCAGAGGGCTCAAGTCTGACCTTCAGGTGGTCAGTCATGGATGGGACACATTTTTACCATGTGGTTCCACACATTGCAGTTGGCCTTTCTTAACCTGCTTTCCTGTCTGTGTCAGAGGCACAGTACCTAGCACTTCATAGGGCTGATGTGAAGAATCAGTAAAATAATGCATGGTATCATTCAACACTATGTCTAACACATTTGAAAGACATAGGAAGTAAAAGTGGGTAAGTTGTAGATTTATATGAGTTGAAGCCTGATTGATCGGAGGGTATCTTCGGAACCTGGAATTGTCATAAGAAAAAAAAGTCAATTATCAAAGGGCAGTTTCTCTCTCTCTCTCTGCCTCCCCTCTTTTACCTCCTTTTATCCTTTTTCTTTTTCTCCCCATTCCCCCCACCACCACTCCCATCTCTCTTTCTCTCACCCCCATCTAAATGTTAGATTTGAACTTCCTGCTACTGGCAGAACATTTACTGCCCTGAGACTCCCTCAGTTAATTACTTGAAGTGACACTTCCGGAGAATATATTGCAAAGATTTGATCGTGCTTCTTTTTTAAAGACGTTAGCAGATGCTTTCTTTTGAAAGAGGATAAATTATAGATGCTATTCTTTTCCTTTCTTGGAAAAGAACTCCCACTCCTTAGTTCTGTAAAAGGCTGGTAAAAAAGTTTCAATGAGAAAAATCTGCGTTTTCAACAGGCTAAGGCATGACCTTTGTCAGAACACAATTTTAAACAGTAGGTTCACAAGTTTGTTTCTAAGAATTAGGTTTATTCAAATCAAAGAGTGAGAATGATAGGTTAATTTTTTTTTTTCCTTTCAGTGAGAGAACTTGAAACTATATAATGCATTAGACATGGAAGGAAGAGAGTAAATACTTCTGTTTTGTTCCCCTTCTGTTTTCCATCCTGTTACTAGATGGGGTTTCTGATCTGACTGGCCTATGCGCTAGTAGATATTTTGAAGCCCACTATCTTTGTCTAGTTAAATATAGCTTTTAGGTTTTGGATTCTCTTTCAAAGAGAATCTCTGTGTTGATCATATATTTGTGAAACTGTAAGCAGTCATTAGGAATTATTTTTGTTTACAAACATTCCTCTCATTTAACAGTGGTTATTCATACCAAAGAGCCATACTCACTGTTCTTGGAAGGCAGGCCTGAGTCTTAGTTGTCTTGTATCCTACTGTATTTATGAATTACTGTACTGGTTGCAAATATGTATCCACTTTAGACAGGAGCTGTCAGAATTGGGAGTACTTATTAAAGCAAATGGAAATTTCCTACCACACCTACATCAACTGGTAGTCTAGAAGACTGTTGTAATTTATACAGAGATGATTCCTTTATAATGGTGCCCATAGCCTGCTGATTACAGAGTTACCTTATACCTCATGTAACATACTATTTCACAGATCAAAATACTGAGGCATCAAGACACTGTCTGTCTAAGATCACACTGCACTTTAAAATTAGACAGTACCCCGAAACCAGTATTTTTTTTTCCTTCCAGTCACACTACAGATACTTTATAGTACACAAACTTAAATTTTTTAAGCTTTCCTGTTGGAATCCACAGACCTGGAAACAAAATGGAGCACTAAATAAACATGTCTGCTTTTTCTAGAAATGTCTATCTTGGAAAATAAATAAATGATTATTACATAAACGAATTATCTCCTTCATCAATCTCCTTTGCTGGGTTTATAATGGAATGCCCCTTTAGTCCTAAAAACTACTGCCCAGCATGAGAGAAATTGAGTTAACAAATTAATTCAATTCAACTCTAACTAATAGCCACTAATTCAGTATAACAGGGGTCATCAGTCAGCCTTGTCTCCTAGGAGTCTTCCCAGCGTCTGCCTGCCTTATTACTTGAAGACGAAGCCTGAATGTCATTCTAGCATGAGGGCTGTTTTGCCTTGTTAATCTCCTTCCCCAATTTTTGTTCATGACTAGAAATGTTAACCTTCATTTCAGATGTCACTTGGGGCACTGGTTGCCTGCATCTAAGAAAGGAATTTTAAAACCCCTCTTTTGCAAAATGGAATAATGATCAGTTGTTTTGCTTTATAAAGTAATCTTCCCCCTATCCATTTATTGATCTCATTTATCTTGAGTAGCTAAAATTTTTGCCCAATGGAGTCTCACACCTTCCTCCCCTGGTGCTCTGCCCTGACTCTCCACATCCTCACCCACTGGGTGAGGGCCCTGGCTAACAGAGGACCAGTTGCCTAGATCTTTATTCTAGCTTGAAATGAAATGTCTGAAAGGTAAACCTATGATACTTGATTTGTCTTTTCAGGACACTGTTTCAGTTCATAGACCAAGTTTTTATGCAGACAGATTTTTAAAGTTTATGAATTCCAGAGTTTTCAAGAAAATTCAAGGTAAGATTCTTATGAAAAATTTTCTTTAGCACTAATTCACTGACTTCAGTATGTGTATTTGCTTTTTATTGAATGAATTGGACTGTTTATCTCCTTTAGCAGTAGTCACATAGTAACCACATTCAGTATCCTGATCAGATGCTTAATGATGCCATAATCATGATGGTCTATTTTTTAAAAAAAAGATTTATTTATTTGTGCATACAGAACTGGGGTACAGGCCAGAGGCTCAGGGGTGGTGAGAGGCTTCACCAGAGACAGAATGGGGAGATCAGATCAGACAGGCAGATTGATGAAGCACACTGCTAAGGGGAACAGCGGGCAGGTCAGGAGAGGTCTGCCACGCCATGTGGTCACCTCCGGGGCAGACGGGAATCGAACTCATGTGCAAGTGGTTTAAGCTTCTTAGTGCAGTGCTTTAACCCGCTGCGCCACAAGGGAGGGTCCCATGATGGTCTATTTTTATGATGGAAAAAATTAGGAAGTAAATGTCCAGCTCAAGAATATATTGGTTAAACATTGTACAGTATAATCACATCATGAAGTAATATGCAGTCAGTAAAAATAATGCATTAAAATTTAGTACATATATAAATTTATTCATGCACATATTATTATTTGTCTGTATATCTAAAAGCACAACAAAAATCTCAAAGGTGGTATAAACAATTTTACTGTTATTATCCTAATGAAATGTTCTCAGGATAGAATGTTTTAGATCACAAAAGTTTTAATACTTAGAAACTAAAATCAGACAAAGTATCTTTTCAATCACAGTGGAATGAACAAAAATTGGAAACTGAAAATTTACAAAATTGTGAAATTTTAACAATATACTTAAACTACAAATAAATCAAAAAAAGAAAGCCAGAGGCATTAGGAAAAAAATAGGAGATAAATGAAAGCAAAATACATGCCAAAAACTTAGAGCATGCTAACAATGGTTATGCTGAGTCAGGATGTTACATAGAATTTATTTTCCTTAGTATTTACTTATCATTGATTTATTTTATTAATGAAGCTTCATTTTCTTAAATTCCTGTTACTATTTTGACAGTGTAGGATTCCTCCCCTCCGGTGTGGTCATAGCTCTCCCATGTCCTGAGTACCCACAGTCCTCCGCCACAGTCCTTGTCTCTCTCCAGGCCCCTTCCCATTTCCACCCGCCCCACCCCTTCATTTCCTCTTGTACACCTCACATCTGTGGTCAGTTTCCAAGAGTTCATTTTAAAGTTTGTCATTTTTTGACCCTCTGTTTGGTTTCTCTGTATTCTATATATAAGTGACACCAGCCCATTTTTATCTTTCTCACTCTGGCTTACTTCACTTAGGATAATCCCTTCTAGCTTCATCCTATATTCATATTTCATTTTCTTCTGTAGATATGTATTTTTACGTAGTAACTTTTTAAACTATATTAAAAGGATAAAATAGGCCTATTATTACATTTATTGTAGTTTTATCAGTTAGTTATTTTTTGGTCCAGTTTCATAAGCTACAAGACAATTTTGCCATACCAAAAAACTTAAAAAAGGTAGAATGCTCATATTTTATATTTACATGAAACAAATTTTTCTTGTTATACTTATTTGAATTTTCTGTTAATGAAAGTCAACAGTTATTTAAAAAGTCTTTTTATTTTTCCAGCTTTTTGAGATATAATTGACATAAAGTATTATGTAAGTTTAATATGTACAACTTGATGGGTTGATATTTATGTATATTGCAAAATAATTATCAAAATTTGGTTACATCCATCACCTCGCTTACCTATAATTTTTGTGTTTGCTAAGAACATTTAAAATCAACTCTCTTAGCTATTGTCAAGTATATAAAATAGCACTATTAACTATATGCAATGCTATGTATTAGCTTCCAAGAACTTACTTATCTTACGGCTAGAAGTTTGTCCCTTTGATCAAGATTTTCTCATTCCTCCATGCCCAGCCCCAATTCAACTTTGTTGAGCCTATTTTTATGAGTTCAGAAATTTTAGACTCTGCATATAACAGAGATCATAAACTATTTGTCTTTCTCTGACTTATTTCCTATGCATAATGTAGTCAAGTCACTCCACATCATCACAAATGGCAGAATTTCCTTCTTTTTAATGGCCAAAAAATATTTGTGTGTTTGTTTATGTACACCACATCGCATTTTCTTCATTCACCTGTGCATGGACTTCTAGGTTGTTTCCATGTCTGAGCTATTGTGCGTAACACAGCAGTGAAAATTGAGATTCAGCTGTCTCTTCCCAATAGTGATTTCATTTGCTTCAGATATATATACCCAGAAATAGTTCCATGCAGTTTTCATGGTGGCTGGACCAATTAACATTCCCACCAACACTGCACCAGTGTTCTCTTTTCTTTCCACCCTTATCAATACTTACTTTTATCCTTTTGATAATAGTTATCCTGCAAGATGGGAGGTAATATGGCATTGTGGGTTTGATTTGCATTTTCCTGATGATTAGTTATGTTGAGTATCTGTTCATGTATCTGTTGATCATTTGTGTGTCTTAGGAAAATTGTTTGTGTCTTTTTAAATTGAATTCTTTCTTTACTATTGAGTTGTATAAGTGCCTTATGTACTTTTTATTCTTAACACTTTGTCTGACATATGGTTGGCAAATATCTTTTCCCTTCTGTAGGTTACCTGTTCATTTTGTTGTTTCTTTTGTTCTGTAGAAGCTTTTAGTTTGATATAGTCCCACTTGATTAATTTTGCTTTTTTGTTTCTACTTTGGGAGTCATATCCAAAAATTCATTGCTAAGTGCAATGTCAAGGAGACTTCCCCCTATGTTTTCTTCTAGGAGTTTTATTGTTTCTGGTCTTATATTCCAGTCTTCAATTCATTTTGAATTCTTTTGTGAGAGTAAAACATTTTCTTTGTGAAAATTCTGGAAACTACAAAGGATGCAAAGAAAACAATGAAAATTACTTAAAATCCCACAACCCAAATATGTGTACTACTAATGTTTTATGCTAGTTCCTGCCAGTTTTTATTTCTGTGCTTTGTAAGTATTTCTCTATTCCTTTATGTAAAATGGTAACACAGTGACATACACTTAGAGTGTGTATGTCCTCAATTTTTCACAGAATATTATAATGTGAATAGTTTGCTAGATCATTGATATTCTACAAAGTCACACTTTAGTACTAAAGTAATATTTCATTCAAACCTTATATAATAAAATTTAAAGTGTGCATCATTCACTCAACGTGTAACTACTACATTAAGTTCACAGTAAACATCCACTTCTATCCTACAAAGACACAGTTGAAAGCTGCATTACAGCCCCTCCCTGGTGGCACACGGCGTTAGGATGCAGCACAGCAAGCCGGTGCAGCAGCTTCAGTGCAGGTTCAATCCCCACCCTCGAGGTGATACATGTGGCACCATGGACCTCTCCTGTCTCGCCCACTGCTCCCCTCAGCAGTGTACTTCATCCATTTGCCCATTCTGCTCCCCACTGTGTCTCTGGTGAATCCTCTCACCACCCCTGCATCTCTGGCCTGTACCCCAGTTCTGCATACATAAATAAAAAAAGAGAGCTACTCTCAAATCTTTAAAAAAAAAAAGTTGCACTACATTAAAATTATGTGAGTATGTCATAATCTGTTCAACCATTCTTTTAAGTATCGGGCATTACATTGTTTCTCCATAACTAAGGTTTTATGAACAGCACTTCAAATAAATGTGTCAAATTTATGATTCATTCCCTTTTTTGCTTACACTTTTCTTACTTTTGTACAATGTATGCATTCTCATCTTGGTGACAGTCCCAGTGAAATTCCCACCCCCCATTCACCTGTGCACCATCACAACCGTCCCCTGGGCTCTTCCTACCCCTGTTTTGATTCTATGCCCTCGTCCTCCACTGTAGAGTGTCTCTGGCTTATAGATGCCTGTTGGTTTTGGTTTTACTTTTTTATAGTTAACATTTTTTCCCCCGATCTCATATTTGGATCATTTACATTCCTCTAAGAGTAAAACCATCCAGCATTTTTCTTTTTCTTTCTGGCTTATTTCACTGAGCATTATCTCTGGTAGGGCTGTTTCTGTAGAATGGAGTTCAAAAGGTACAGTAGGGGGCTAAAATACATATAACTCCACAGAAAGATTATGCCACTGTGGACTCCACAAGAATCTGTGTTCCAGCCCTTAGCCAGAATTACTCCTTAAATTATGCTACTCTGATAAGTAAAAAATGTTATCTGATTATCTGACTTTGCATTTCTTGAGTGCTGGTGACGTCCAACCATTATTCATGTTTATTAATCATTTGTAATTCCTTTGAGTGTTGAACTTTAAAACATTTGCACATTTGATGTAGATGTTTATTACTTTTTCAGATGATTTATATGAAGCTTACATATTAAAATTGCCAATCCGTTTTTAATCTGACTTCTAAGAAAAACTTAAGTATTACATTTGATTATCTCCATGGAGTCTTTAAATTGTCGTCAAATGGTGGCCACCATAAATTGACTACTTTTATTTTCTAAGTTAGATCATAAGATAATACTGGTTCAGACCGCAAGCTTGTTGAATGCCAACTCGCAGTTCAGATTTTCAAGGAAGATTTTCCACCTCCACTTACTCTTTGTTAACTTTTGAAGGTGAAGTTTTTTTCGGCCCCTGGTGGGTTATATGGCTCTTGGTGCCCAGATTTAAAGTTGCTTCTCCAGAAGATTCTCCATCATGGGAGCTTTTTTTCTTTTCTTTGTCTCATATGAATCAACAGCATCTTTACTTCTGTGAAAAAAAAGGAAGATTTGCAAAATTTCCTACATAGTTTATCCAGTTTAATGCAACAAGTCTTTTACTTCTCATGTAGTCCTATCTGTTGGTTTTTCCCATTAGCATTTCTTAATTTATTTTTATGACAGCTCTACTGAAATATCAGTGACATACCATGAAAAGCATATAGTTCTTTAACTCTTAGTATATTTACAAAGTCTTAGTATATTTGCAACTATCAACACTATCTAAT